GCTGTTCGTACAAGATTGGAGCCACAGATACAACTACAGCTCTGGGTTGGTACTCCCTCTCTCTTTCTGATCTTGTGGCAGGTACATTTTTTCCATGTATATTAGGCTGAATGTGTTCCAGAGCACAGAGTCTAGAGGACAACTTCATAAGTGCTAGGCTCAGCCACTTGCCCCTGGAGGTAGCTTCTGGATGTTGTGAAGCCCTGAGATACTAGATGTCATGAAAGTATGCGTTTATTTTAAAGCTAACCTGGATTGAAGAACTCCTTTATTTCCCCTCTTAGGTGTGTGTGATGCTTGCTTTTAGGGGCACCCTTTAAAAATATCTTCCATGCTTCCAGTAATTCTTCTGACTTAAAAATCGGGATATATGTGTTGACAGATAATTTTTGGTTTGCTTCTGAGAGTCAAAGGAGTTTCAGGAAATGCAGTTTGGTTGAAGAAGCATTAGCATTTTGGGCACATCTTGCTAGTTTTTGTTTTTGTTTTTTTTGGTGGGAGGATATGGCTGACTGAATAAAATAGTTACCATTTAATGACTCTTTATTGATCGTCAACCCCTGTGCTGTGCCTTTACACGTATTACATCATTTAATCTTCACAACAATTTAGTAAGGTAACAATTTATTTTGCAGGGTGTAGTGGCTGGTTAAATTCAAATCTATCTGATTTAGAAGTGATATAAGGAAGACCGCAGAAGAATTGATGCATTTGAGTTATGTGTTAGAGAATATTGAAAGTACCATGGGCTGCCAAAAGAACAAATAGATCTGTGTTAGAAGAAGTACAGCTAGAGTGCTCCTTGTAGGCCAGGATGGCCAGATTTTGTGTCACATATTTTAGACATATTGTCAGGAGGGACCAGTCACTAGAGAAAGATATCTTGTTTGGTAATGTGCAGAGTCAAAGAAAAAGGGGAAGACCCCCAGCGAGATGGATTGGCAAAGTGTCAGCATAAGTGGGCTCAAGTGTACTAACAATTGTGAGGTTGGCCCAGGACCGGGTAGTGTTTCATTCTGTTGTGCATAGGGTCACTATGAGTTGGTGCCAACTCAATGGCACCTAACTACAACAACTTTTGAACAACTGTACATATAGGCTCCAGGACACAGAGTCCCCCATGGAATGAAAATCAGAACATGATTTTTAGTCAGAGGTCTAGATCTGTAAATGTCTTTCTTTATAACCTCACTTCCTCATCAGAGGGCAGCTTGGTAGCCAGAAAAAGTAAAGCTTAATCCAATGGGGACTTCATAATTGTCCCCCTTTGTTCTCACACTTGGGTCAGAGTTCATGGGTAATTTCCAAGAAGCCGACACCTGTTTAATGGAGATTTCACTGAAAGACAGAAACAAGTTTTTATTTTCAAGGCCCACTTTCTCTTTTTATCAAGTCTGGGCTCCCACATCATCAAGAGGAGGGAATTCTCAGACCTCCATGCTGTGGTGCATGTGTGTGTGTCCCACACCATGGAAGCCCCAGGGAATAGTAGAGAAGAATGATGGGTAATGGCCCTGTAGAGGTCTAAATTGTCTGCTTACCATTGCCCATTGCTGTGGAGCTGATTCGGACTCATAGTGACACAGGAGGACACAGCAGGACTGCTCCCTAGGGTGTCTGAGACTGGAAGTATTGACGGAAGCAGACAGCTTCATCTTTTTTCCTTTGTGCAGCTTGTGGGTTGGAAACTCCAACTTTGCTGTTGTTGTTGAGTGCCGTCGAGTCAATTCTGACCCATAGCAACCCTGTATAGGGTTTCCAGGGAGTAGCTGGTGAACTTGAACCATTGACCTTGCAGTTCAGATGACTTTGCAGTCTGACATATTAGCCCACAGCGCCATGTTCGCAGCCCAACAATTAACCCCCTGCACCACACACATGCACACATGTTACGCATATGCTGATGAAGGAGCCCTTTGTGGCTCAGTGGTTAAACACTGTTCCCTTATAGATTGTTGTTGTTAGGTGCCATCGAGTTGGTACTGACTCATAGCAACCCTATGTACAATAGAACGAAACACTGCCCGATCCTGGGCCAGTCTCACAATTGTTGCCACGCTTGAGCTCACTGATGCTGCCACTTTGCCAGTGCATCTCTGGGGGTCTTCCTTTATTGCTCTTGTGTTGGTTCTGATTCATAATAGCCCTATAGGACAGAGCAGGACTGTTCCAAGGAGTTTCTGAGGCTATCAATCTTTATGGAAGCAGATGGCCTCATGTGGGGTGGCTGGTGGGGTCAAACTACCAACCTTATGGTTAGCAGCATAATGCTTAACACTTTATACCAGTAGGGCTCCCCTCTTAAAGACAGTTTCTGACGAAGTGACTGGCTTACAAGACTTCAAGTGGGAGCTTAGTTTAAGAGGGTGGGGTTAAAGAAAGAGTCCCCACTGAATAGCTATCATCTTGTCTAGATGAGTCTGTTGAAAGGAGCTGGGGATAAGATTCGTAACATTCAATAGTGAATAACTGTTATCATGACTAATCGTGACTGTCACACTTGTAAAGGTAGAAGTTTTGTAACAAAAAAAGGGAGTAGTTAATCTTACAGTCCAGAAACAGAGGACCCTAGGACCATCAAGAGAGGAACGCACAAATAGAATGCAAGACCTTATCTAGAGAAGCAGCAGCGCCAGAGATGGAGGCAGAGATGGGGGCATGGAGAGGGGGCATGGCTGAGGACTCTAGATTCATCAACTAAGAAGAGAAGGAGTAGGAACTGGTGGCCAGGAGCAGACTTGCAGAATGTGCCCTTTGGAGATGTAAATTATTATATATGCCTGAGTGGGTTTTTTTGTTTGTGTGTTTTTTAAAAAGCTAAAGTGGATAGAGAGAAATACTTTTAACTAATGGTAAATGGAGGGGATTATAATCAGTGTAATGAAACAAGTCATATGAATGGTTGAATGTGAAACTGCTGATGTGCCCTGTAAACTTTCACTTAATCCACAATAAAAACCTTGAAAAAAAAGACAGTTGCTGCTAAGTGTTGTTCCAACTCACAGCAACCCTGTATAGGGTTTCCGAGGAGCAGAAACTCTATGGATGTAGTTTTGTTCTATCCTATAAGGTTGCTATGAGTCAGGATCAACTTGATGGTTCACAACAACAATATGCCAAAAGGATCAGTTTAGCTTTTCTTGCTTCTCTCAAACAGCTCACCCATAGGAAAGGGACTAAGAATTCAAGGCACCTGTATCACTTGAGAAAGTACAAGCCTGCAGCTGAAGGCTTCCAGAGCAGCAAATATCACCTTGCCTCTTTTCTTGGACCCTTCAGCTGTTGGATTTTGATTGACAGAGGCATCTGGCTGCTAAAAATACCCTAGTGATCAAGTGCTCCCTACTCCAACTTGAGCTGAACATGACAGGATCTCAGTACTTAGCACATACAGATAACTTCTTCTTGCAAAGGAATTTTCAAAAATTTTTAGGCCATTAGGTCTAGAACCACACCTATTCCAGGTCACTTTCTGCTCTCAGTCACTTGATTGGGTGATAAATTTGAGACTCTTGCCAGATCACTGTCTTCTTGTCTACAGAAAAAGTGGCTGAGGGGGAGGTGAGGGCCCAGTGGCTGAGAGGGGGTAGGGAAGGGGAGGTATCTTGCCCATTTATAGTCTTGCTCTTTGGTATACTCAAGGTGCTGAAATAGCAACCATGTAAAGAGACTTGTCTCAGAGTTAAGTATCTGCTGTGCTGGCCTGGACGTCTCTGAGATGACAATAGGGGGAATGGAGAACGTGGAAGTCTTCACTTCTGAGGGCAAAGGCAGGGGTCTGAAAGCCACTAAGGAGTTCTGGGCTTCCGATGTCATCTTTGCTGAGCGGGCTTATTCTGCAGTGGTTTTTGACAGGTATGAAACCTCTCCTGCTGGTTAGACTAGTGCCCAACTCTAAAATAGATGTTCTCAAAATCATCAGGGAAAGGATTAAAATCCATGTGATCATTTTAAGCAAAATGGGACATCCAATAGTCAGCTGTTTTCTGGCATAGCTTTTCCTGCAAGAAGTCTTTGCTGATGTGATTGGCTCTGGTCCCTAGAGGCCAGTTGTAAAGGTGAGCTAAATGCTTTGGGGCATTTTTCATACAACACTGGTGAACTTTGCCTAATGGGTATACTTCCAGCGAAAGGGGGTGGAAAGGTGGGTGTGGTGCTATAAGAAACATCTTCTAACCCAAGGCTCCATGTTTTTAGCTTCTTTTGACGTAATAAATATTTTAGAGCATAATGTAATTGCTGAGACTTAAAAAATTATAAGTAATTATATAAGTAACAGAGGCATAAACATTCATCTTTGAAAAACTAGAATTTAACTAATAAAGCTGTGATTCCCCCTTTTTTATCATCTTCTTTCTGCTTTCTCAATCTCAGTCTCTTCTATCTTCCCTCAGAAGTAGCCCCATTGAGATTTTAATGTTTCTTTCTAGAATGTTCTCTCTCTCTCTCTCTCTCTCACACACACACACATACACACACACACACACACACACACACACACACACACACACATATATATATTTGTTGTTAATTGCTTTCAAGTAAATTCTGAGCCATAGAGACCCTGTACAGGATTTCCAAGGCTGTAAATCTTTACCAGGGAAAGCCTCATCTTTCTCCCGCAGAACAGCTGGTAGTTTTGAACTGCTGACATTAAGGTTCATAGCTCAATTCATAGTCACTACACTACCAGAGCGCTCTCTCTCTCTCTCTCTCTCTCTCTCTCTCTCTATATATATATATATGTATGTATGTATGTATATATTAGCAAAATGTATAGTGGTAGCTTGTGTATGTATATTTACAGAAGAGGTATCAATTTTCAAGTGTCAATCTAGAATTTTTCACCCAACAATATGTTTTTGATGTCTAGGGAGCTTGAAATATATAGATAATTTTTTCTTTTGTGAATCTTCAAAGACCTGTTGCTCTTTTTGTTTTTAAATTGCATATGGATATATCCATGTTGCTCAGTATGCTACCAGGGGACTTCAAAAATTTCGTGGAAAAATTCCATTATCTTTTAATTCCATTATTTCCATAAACTTTTTGAAGCCACCTCAAATATGTTGTAAATCCTCCACATTATGAATATATGAAAATTTGTTGTCCCCGATCCTATTCTGAAACATTTCATGGTTTCCATAAAAACAAACATGTCTACAATTCAGATATTTAACTGTAGCTCCTTATAGTGCACAGGTGTGACTGTTCTCTAGGATGTGTATCTAGAGGAAGGATTGAGGGACTGCGGGGGGTCCTGGTTTCAGGATTGATGGCTCTCCACCACTCATCTGTCAGTTTGTCGTACTGTGGTGGCTTGTGAGTTTCTATGATTCTGGAAGCTATGCCACTGGTATTTTAAATACCAGCAGGGTCACCCGTGGTGGACAGGTTTCAAATGAGCTTCCAGACGAAGACAGACTAGGAAGAAGGAGTGACGAACTACTTCTGAATATTTAGTCGCTGAAAACCTTATGAATAGCAGAGAAACACTGTCAGATATAGTGCCGAAACAATTGTGAGGTTGGCCCAGGATCGGGCAGTGTTTCATCCTGTTGTACATAGGGTCGCTATGAGTCGGTACCAACTCCATGGCACCTAACAACACCAACAACAATGTGGCTGTATTAAATTTGCATCTTCACCTTCAGTGGATTAGAGTCCTTTTTCTCCACAATCTGATGTGTGTGCATACCACATATTTTAGTAAATTTTTTGTTAAAAAATTAAAACAACAATAACATAAAACCCTTACAACTGTGATTACATTATAATATATAATATATTAATATATAATATATGGTAATATGCTCTGAGCCAAAAGCTGGGATGATCTGTCTGACATTTCTGTGATCTGAACCAAGACTGCTTCTGGTAACTTAGGCTGCCTGGTTGGCTGATTGTACCAACTCTCTTGAGAATGGGAGCTGCTTTCAGAGATAACCTGAGTAGTGTTCAAATTCCTTTTGCTTCCTGCCTACCAACACCTTCAGGGAAAAGGTACACCAACACCTAAGGAACATGAGGGGCTGATGTGACAGTTATCACTTCTCAGGGGAATGTGTTTTATTTTATAACTTTATTTGTGTGTGTGTTTGGGGTGGGTGAATGTGGATAGGGAATCCCTTTGATTCAGAGCTAAAACAGAAAACACCAGAAATACAGGGGCTGTAAACACTGATCTTGGTATTGCTACTGAATTGCTCCCTGGCCTTGTCCAGACAGCTTCATTTGTTGATTTGAGTGGATTTTCTTTCCTTTTTTTATAGGAAAACACACATTTTAAGAAAATTCAGGAAGAAAAATATATTTCACACAAAGATAACGACTTAACATTGGCGTTTATTTTTTTCTAGTTTGTTTTATAACATAGGTTTCATTTGTTTATCTTACACAGTTGGGACTGTATTAAATAAACTATTATGTTTTTAAATTTAGCAATTTACATATGTTCTATCCTATTATACACTCACAAAGGAGCTCTGGTAGCATAGTGGTTATGAATCAGGCTGCGAACCGCAAGGTCAGCAGTTCAAAATGACCAGCTGTTCCATGGGAGAAAGATGAGGCGTTCGGCTCCTGTAAAGATTTACAGCCTCAAAAACCCTGTACAGGGTCGCTATGAGTCGGCACCGACTCCACGGCACATAGCCACCACCATACACTCACAAACGAAGTGGCTGGATGCTCTTGTAACATGCCCTTAAGACTGGACACTAGGCTGTTTACATGTTGCTCTTATAAATAATTAATTAGAAGTCATCACTATAAAACATTAGGGCACGTTGCAGATCAAAATGCTACAGGAAATGTTATTATTACAACGGTAATAAAAATTAGGATCATTTGACTAAGTGATCTTTAAAATGCAGCAAAAAATCTGAAGGGGATACTTTTTAAAAATGATTTATCCAAAGTTGTCACTACACAGAGGAGGGGGTGGTCATTTCTTTGGGCATACTCAGATGGCGAGACAGTTGAGAGGCATCAAATAAAGCTAGTCCTTTGCTTGTATTTTAGGTTCCTGGTGAGGCTCAGCCCCTGTAGACGAAACACTTGGCTGGAGAGGTAGAACTGAGTCATCCACAAAAGTTTATCTGTTCAATCATGCTATAAAAGTAGGACTTTCTAATTCTTGTTGTTTTAAGCCAAACTTCCTGCTCTACCTCTCCAAGCAGAGGGAATGTATTTGTTAATTGAACACTGCATTAAATGAGGAATTCTGGTAGCATAGTGGTTCCAAGTTGGGCTGCTAACCTCAAGGTCAGCAGTTCGAAACTACCAGCTGTTCCACAGGAGAAAGAAGAGGCTTTCGGCTCCCGTAAAGATTCACATCCTCGGAAACAATATAGAGGGTTGCTATGAGTCGGAACCGACTCCAAGACACACAACCACCAACCACCAATTCATTTAAATAATATATGTCACAATATCATGATACATATACATGTACACACAGAGTTAAGAAATACAACCTGAGAAACCACCATCCAACTTAACTTGTTGTACTCCGTTGAGTTGATTTTTTTATAAAGTCCCTGTGTGACAGAGTAAAACTGTTTTCTAGGCTGTACTTGTACAGCCAATTGTCAGATCTTCCTCCTGTGGAGCTGCTGGGTGGGTTCAAACTGCTAACCATTTAGCTAGCAGCTGAGTGCTTAACTATTACATCACCAGTGCTTCTCCAACTTAGCTAGAACATTCCAGAATATTACATCTTCCCTGTCTTTCCCTATCCTATTTCCTTCCTGCTTTAATAGTAGTTTATCACATACGTATATATTCCTAAACAATATACAGTTTAATTGCTTTACAAATAGACTTTATATTTTTTAGAGCAGTTTTAGGTTTTCCAAACATTGTGCAGAAAGCACAGAGAGTTTCCGTAGATTTCTTCCCCCTCTGCCCATTTTTACAACTTTTAGGTTCTGTTTTTGATCTATTAAAAAGAGGAATAGTATTCGATATCGTTTTATGATGCTTGCTTCTTTCACTTAAGTGACTGTTTTATTATTCTTCTGGATACTTTTGTGGTGTTGTGTGCCACCGAGTCAATTGTAACTCACAGTGACCCTCTAGGACACAGCAGAACTGTCCCATAGTGGTTCTTAGACTGTAGTCTCCACGGGAGCAGAGAGAGACTCTTTCCTTCCACTGAGTAATTGGCAGGTTCAAATTACTGACCTTTCATTCAGCACCATGGCACAACCAGTGCTTCTAGGATAGTTTTGTATAACTAGTAAAATGGACAAGTTCTTTGTGTGTTTATGTATATCACCATGAGCTTTTCCGTTTTTCTGCAAATGTATGGTGTGGACATTTTTATGTCTATCTCCTGGTGAACAGCTACATGAATTTTACTAGGGTGTTTTCTTGTTGTTGTTGTTAAGTGCCATGGGGTCATAGTGACCCTGTATAGGATTTTTGAGGAACGGATAGTGTATTTGAACCACTGACCTTGTGGTTCAAACCAACATTGAAGTCAAGTGCTTATCCTATAGTACCATGTTTTCCTAGGAGAGAAAATACTGGGTCATAATGTGCTGTAGGATAAGCATTGGATTGCTGACCACAAGGTTGGTGGGTCAAACCCAACAGCTGGTCCTCGGAAACCCTATGGGGGGTCGCTATGAGTCAGAACCAACTCCATGGCACTTAGCACCAATAATGTGTATGATGTTCAGTTTTAATGTCAGACTGGGTCCCACAGAGTTTGTTGAATCATTTTTGCTGATGGGGAAACAGACTTAGTGAGGTGAAGGAACTTCCTAAGGCCATGGTGCATCAGGGCCTTAGGAACTGAGTGTTCTGGTACCATATCCTGTCATCACCTCCCACTGCTCCAACAAGTA